TTTGCTGAGAGAGAGAGAGAGAGAGAGACAGAGACAGAGACAGAAAGAGAGAGAGAGAGAGACAGTTAGATAGAGTGGGGCAGAGGCAGAGAAACAGAGAAAGACACAAACAAACAAGAGCTAAAAAAGACATTGAGAGAGAGAGAGAGAGAGAGAGAGAGAGAGAGAGAGAGAGAGAGAGAGAGAGAGAGAGAGAGGATAGAAAGAGCCCAATTTCAAAATACAAAAGACCAGCACACAACTTTAAGAGGTAGCCGAAAAAAACTAGAATAAAATTTTCGTGTTTTCCCAATCTTTTCGTTGTGTTTCAACCCATAAACTTATTAAAGAAGGCAAGAATAATAATATGTAGATACAATTATATCAATACTTAAGATGCATCATGGATAAATTAGCATTACTGTTATCTTTACAAGCGTTTTGATAGTTATTGTTATAATTACCGTTATTTTTGGCTTCATGACAATATATCTTAAAATCACTACAGTTAAAACACCAGGAAATTAAATACGATAATATTAGAATTATCGTTGACAATAAAAATGTGTTGTGACATTGACATCAACTACAGGGCTTATGGTAATAGCAGTAATGATAGTGGTAATGATAATAATAACAAATTACATTGATAACGATCATAGTATTGAGAGTAATCATCATATTAAAGACAATGGATTCATGTTATTAATCAGAACATTAATAACAACAATGATAATGATGATTGTGATAATAATAGGAGTTTTAATAATGATGATGATAATAGCAATGATAATGACAGTGATGCTGATCAAGATTACAACAGTAATGATAATTATGATAATATTAATGTTAATAGCAATAATGACAATACTAATAATGAGAATAAGAATAAGAAGAATAACGATGATGATGTTTAAGAATATGGTAATAATAGTAATAGTAATGATAACAGGAAATAATTTTATCATGATATAAATGATAATGATATTAATACTATTATTAACTATTAGCAGTAGGAATAATGATAACAATTATAGTACTAATAATAGTAATAATGATATAAGAAATGGTGATAATATTGATGAGAATGATAATAACAGCAGTGATGATAATAATGATAGTAGTAACAATAATAATAATCATAATGATGAAGTAATGATAATAATGATAATGGTATTGATGATAATGACAGTGATAATGATAATGATAATAATACTAATGATTATGATTATCACAATAATGATGATAATGATAGTAATGCTAATAGTGATAACAAAAGTAATTGTAATAACAATAACAGTGATAATGATAATAACAACAACAATAATGATAGTAATGAAAAGAAAGATAATGAAAATAATGATAATAATGATAATGATAATGACAATGGGGATAATTGCAATAAAAATAATGATAATAGCAGTGATAATGACATTAATAATGATGTTAATAATGTCAATATTGATGATAATAAAGATGATGATGATGATGATAATAATGATGATAATAATAGTAATATGAATAATAATTATAACTAAAATACTGATGGTAACATAATAATGATGATAGTAGTACTAGTTGTAATAGTGATACTGTTAATAATTATATTACTAATAATTACAATAGTCAGAAAAGTAATACTACTAATAATGATTATAGTAAAAATAATAACAATAGTAGTAGTGATCATATTATTAACAATGATAATGATCATAATAATGATATTTACAGTGATTATTATGATGATGTTTATGATATTAATGACAATAATGATGATAATGAAAATATAATTGTAATAATGATAATGATAATGATGATAGTAGTTGTAGTAGTAATAATTACAGTACTAAAATAATTGCAATAATAATAATTATAAGAATAATAACAATAATAATCATTGCAAAAATATTAATAACAACAATGATAGTAATAGTAATATTGATGACAATGATAATAACAATAATGATAATGATAACAATAATAGCAATAATAATACCAGTAATAGTAATGATAATCCAACTACTATTACCACTATTGCTGATAACAAAAATGCTAATGATAAAGATAATATATTGATAATACTTATAATAACAGTAATGATAACAAAAAGGATAATGATAATGTTAGCAATGATAATAAAAATTCTAGATATAATAATGTTAATGATGATGATGATGATGGTGAAGATATTCATAATTATGTTAATGATAATGATGTTCATAATAAAGATAATGATAATGGTAATGACAATAATAGTAATAGTAATAATGACTAAAATAACAATAAGGAAAATATTGATAAAGATATTGAATAAAGATAATAATAACAGTGATAATAATAACAATAGTAATGGTGATAATGATAACAATAATAAGAGTTATAATGATACTACTAATAGTAATGGTAATAATAGTAAAAATTATAACAGCAACATTGATAGCAATGATGATACTAGCAATGAAAATAATAATGGTAATAATAACAGTAGTAGTGATAGAAATAATATTTGTAATAATGATAATAACAAGAATGATTATGATGATATTGATAATGATAATAGTAATATTGATGATAATAATAATGATCATAAAAGTGATAATAATAATGATAATAATGATAATAATAATAGTAATAGTAACATTATTAATGTTGATAAAAAATTATAAGATAATGGCAATGATAGTAATAATGATGATAATAATGATATTAATAATGATAGTAATAATAATAATAACAATGATAATAATGATAATGATAATAAAAATGATAATGGAAATAGCAATACTATTAATGATAATGAAAAATACTAATATAATAGCAATGATAACAATAATCATCATAATGATAATGATAATATTGATAATGATAGTGATAGTAATGATATTAATGATAATAAAAATAATGATATAATAACATTGATAATGATAATGATGATAATAATGACGATGACGATAATAGTAAACATACTAAAGGTAATTGTGATGATAATTATTATTGTAGTCATAACACCAATAATAATGTTGATAATAAAAATGATATTAATGATAACAACAACAACAATAATAATGATAATATTAATGGTAATAATAATGACGATAATAACAATAACAATATTGATAATGATATCTATAATGATAATGAGGATGATGATGATAATAATAATAATAACGATAATTATAACACTAGCAATGATATTAATTTTAATAGTAATAATGATGATGATGATGATGATAATAATGATAATAGTAATGATGATGGTGATAATGATAATGAAAATAATAACACTACCAATACTGATAATGATAATAGTGATGATAATGATACTGATGATAGTAATGATGATGATTATTGTTATCATTATCCTTTTTATTGCTTATACTATTGTCATCATCATTATTCTCATCATCATGATTATTATCATCATTCTCATTGTTATTATAATTATCATTTATATCATCATTCTCAATATTGTCATTATCATCATTGTTATCATTACTGTTATCACCATTATCATTTCCATTACTATGTCATCATTATCATTATCATTAGTAGTATTGTTATAGTTATCATGATCTTTACCCATTATCATTATCCTTTTTATTATTATGATTGCCATTATTATCATTACTACCATTATTAATGTCATTGTTATTATCATTTTTACCATTGCTATTATGGTAATTATTTTCATTTTTATGTTATCATTATTATCATAACACACACACACACATGCACACATACACACACACACGCATACACACACACACATGCAAGCGCGCTCACACATACACACACATTTACACACACACACTTACGCAAACATACATACTAGCACACACACACACAAACACACACACACACACACACACACGCACACGCACGCACACACACACTTACACACACATATACACACACACTTACACAACCACACACACACGCACACACACGCACGCAACGCACATACACACACACACACGCGCGCACACACACACACACACACACACACACACACACACACACACACTTACACAGGCACTCACACACACACAATCACACGCACGCACTCACACACACACACACACACACACACACACACACATTTTCACACACACACACTTATACACACACACACACTTACACGCACGCACACACACACATAAATATACATTATGCAGGCGCGCATATTTCTCATTATTGCAATTATCAATGGTGTTCGAACTGACACAATTCCGAGACAATAAAACAGTGAAATCTACATCAATAAAAACAGTGACAGCGGCATGAGAGTCGGAAAAGTTTTTAATGATTTTGACAACATCATTAAAAGCTTCAAGTTTAGGATTATGTTCAGGATTTTTTATGTTTTTTACGTAAAAAAACACCTTCAACGTTTTAGTTAACAGAAACTGCATATTCTCTAACAAGATTCTTAATGCTGAAAAAAGAGGGAAAAAAGAAAGAAAAAAACGACCAGTAATAACCCATTCATATCTTTATGAATAATAATGATGTTGAAAAACGCGCCAAGTTTTTGCCGAGAAAATATGACATCTGTCGCTCAACAGCTGTTATCTCAGGTTATCTAATACGCTTTTTCAGGGAAGTTCCGACGTGAAAACCTTTTGCAAAAGACTACGATGATTCCTGCAAATGAACGTGGTGGGAATGACGCATGACATAGACGCGGTGCAAGGCCCCTTTTGACAGGATATATCACCACATGCAACATTTAAATGGTGGCAAGAAGCTGTTGTGGGCGGGGCTTCGTCGCCAAAATAGGAGACTGTGCCATATTTGGCTGTGATCATGTCCTTATATGGCAAACCCAGCCATTATACAGTCTAGAACACGTATCCCTCCGCATTCCTCGTGGACGCTGACTCGGTGGTGCATATTCAAAATTTTGTATGAAATTGTATGATTAGCTCCTGGAAGAAGGCATTAGATCCGTGGAAAAGGCTTTGCGAAAGGTGCGTGGAAGGTGTCGTGGCGGGAGCTAGTTTGCGGCGCGGAGGCGAGTCGGGCGGGGTGCGTCGCGCGGCACGAGGGATCAGCTGTGTTCAGGTGTTTATGTTCAGTCGTGTTGTGGACGGGGAGCGAGTAGAACGTCGTATCCCTCTGTGGTGCAGTGCGAACTCCCGTGCTCTTGATCTGAAGGTGTAGAGTCAAATATGTGTTTCCTTGACGTTTAGTGCTTCGCCCACAAGATGCAAAACCCGAGCCATAACAACGTTGACGACAAATTTGGGATGAATTTCGGCGGTTTTGATCCCGAGCTCTTTTCCGGGCCTCACATGGGAGGTCCCATGGGTGGGATGGGCATCGGCATGAAGAGGTCTGCCCACGACGCAGGTCTGGACCGCGAGCCCCTAGGGTTGTCCTCAGACGACGACTCGGACCTCCTCAAGAAGGACGACAAGATGCACCCTTCGTCGAGCAGCAGGGACGCGGTGCTGTCCCACCAGACCAACTTAGAGTCCCAGAACCAACCCAGCAAGCCTAGTCTGCTTCCCAACGGCAAAAAGACCAAAGGCCGTGTCAAAATCAAGATGGAGTTTATCGACAACAAATTGAGGAGATACACCACGTTCTCCAAGAGGAAAACCGGCATCATGAAGAAGGTAAATCGCGATCACCTTTTTTATTATTATTATACATTCGTCTCTCGCTCTCTCTCTCTCTCTCTCCCTTGCTTCTCCTGGCTGAGGCGGGCCCGGCATTGAGCGTGACGATATCATATGGTATTCTCCCTTGGCCACAAATCGCTGCGAGTGAATTCTTGGCTGCGATTCCCTGTCGACCGTGTCATTCATTCATAGACGCGCGGGACTGGGGCAACGGAGCGGCCTGTTCCTGCGAGTTGCAAATATTGTTGCTTGATTGATGAACAGAAAGCGAGCCTACGCTCACTAAGGGGCTAGCGCGCTTACGCTCGGTGCGGGGCCCTGGATCCGTGTGAGTGCCACCGAACGAGCATATTAACGTTTGACAGCCTACAGCATGTTGACGAAACATTTATTTCCTCTTCTGCCTTATACCCCCCGTCCGTTATCTGTCCGCAGGCGCACGTACGCAGCGGAAAGCACGTGTTGGCAGCGTCCGTTCGCGAGGATCTGCCGAAATGGCTCTAGTAAGCGGAAGTAGAATGGACGAGCAGGCCTGATCCCAGTTTTGAGTGTGAAGCTGCCAGAGTTATTTTTGGGGGCCGTGTGTGAGTGAGTGTGTGTGTGTGTGTGGGTGAGTTTGTCTGTCTTCCTATCATTCTGTCTGTTTACGTGCTCGCCTTCGAGTTTACACGTCTGTCTGTCTACGTGTCTGTCAGTCAGTCTGTCAGTTGTCTTTTTTGTCCATCTTGTCAGTCTGTCCGTGCATGCCCGTGTCTGTGAACGAGTGCATGCGTGCGTGCGTGCGTGCGACGGAGAATGAATGAGGGTTTGGGCGATTGTTAGACAGATAGTTTTGCACCGGTTCATACATATTTACTTGTTGCGAGTGAGTGCGGTTGAATGAATGAGCAACCAGTTTGTGGTGGTGCGCGAAACGGCAACTCGGGCCGGGCAGTTTTCGCGCACAAGTGAAATGCGAGTGGCGAGCTCTTCTTCTTGTCGCTCTCACTGGCGAGCTCTTCTTGTCGCTCTCACTGGCGAGCTCTTCCTCTTGTCGACTGGCGAGCTCTTCGTCTTGTCGCTCTTACTGGCGAGCTCTTCTTCTTGTCGCTCTCACTGGCGAGCTCTTCCTCTTGTCGCTCTCACTGGCGAGCTCTTCCTCTTCGCTCTCACACTGGCGAGCTCTTCTTCTTGTCGCTCTCACTGGCGAGCTCTTCCTCTTGTCGCTCTCACTGGCGAGCTCTTCCTCTTGTCGCTCTCACTGGCGAGCTCTTCTTCTTGTCGCTCTCACTGGCGAGGGAAATTTGCGAAAAAAAGAATGAAAAAGGGTTTTGCTTTTGTTGTTCTCATCTCACGAAAAAAAAGTAGGACGTTTTTTTGATGTTTTCACTTACGAAAAAATAGGACGTTTTTCTTTTTTAAAGTACATTGAAGATGATGGTTAATGATTTTTTGTGTAAATGGTGGTAGTGGTTACGTTGCGAAGGTTAATGAGAATGATTGCTGAATGATAATTATTATGCATGTTTAAAGTTTAAAAAAATGATATTGGCGATGATAACAGGAATATGATGTATATGAATAATATAATGATATATGATAAAGGTGCTTGCTGTCCTTATTGCCGATTATTATGATGGTAATGAAAATGTTGATGATGTCACAAAAACAACAATAATTGGAAAATAACGCCATTGTAGAGTAATAATAATAACATCACTGGTTATTTCATGTTCACTTTTGTAACGATTATCAAACAAAGTAGAAATAATGACAATGACAATGATGAAAAAGACGGTAATGATATTTTTGTTCTTAATATTGATACAAGTACAGTAATTGTAGCGATAAAGCTGGTCATTAGAAAATATGGAGTTTATTGGAATCGTGTAACTGACAATAACAAGACGAGGAAAATAATTAAAAAAATAGCCTGGAACGACCAAGAAAATTTTAAGTAAGAAAAAAAAAGAGAGAGAAAGAAAAAAAAAAAGAAAAGAAAAAGAGAGAGAAAAAAAAGAAAAAGAAAAAAATACAAATGCAGGTAAAGTTATGTACTGAAAATGGATAAATTCACTGGGCGGATAAGAGGGTAATTCCCACAGTGGGATTTGGGATGCTCACCACGGCGCAAGACAGGACATTCCCCACAGTGCAAGGTCGAGTATTACCCACAGTGTAAGATAGGATAATTGCCAGGGGGTGAGACAGGGCATTCCCCACAGTGTAAGAGAGGTCAAGTCTCACAGTGCAAGATCTGACATTTCCCACAGTGTAAGACAGGATAATTCCCACAATGTAAGGTCGATAATTCCCACAATGTAAGGTCGATAATTCCCACAATCGATAATTCCCACTATGTAAGGTCGATAATTCCCACAGTGTGAGGTCGATAATTCCCACAATGTAAGGTCGATAATTCCCACAATGTGAGGTCGATAATTCCCACAATGTAAGGTCGATAATTCCCACAATGTAAGGTCGATAATTCCCACAATGTAAGGTCGATATTCCCACACGATAATTCCCACAGTGTGAGGTCGATAATTCCCACAATGTAAGATAATTCCCACAATGTAAGGTCGATCATTCCCACAATGTGAGGTCGATAATTCCCACAATGTAAGACTGGATAATTCCCAGAGTGTAAGATCGGATAATTCCCACAGCGTAGGATATATAATTCCCACAATATAATGTAGGATTATTCTCACGACGTAAGATAGAAAAAACAATCCCACAATTTTGGAACAACTCACACCGTGCAGTGTATGGTACAGTAATTTCTACAATGCTAGAAAAGTTCTCATGGTGACCTTAACAATTAACAATTCCCTACGTCGACAGTATAACTTCCTATTACGTAGGATAGGAAAATATCCCCCAATGGAAGACAGGATAATTCTCACAGTATGAGAAACAAGAATTCCCACACTATGAGGCAGCGCAATTCGCACAGTACGAGAAACACAATTCGCACAGCAAAAGGGAGGTCTAGTGCCCACAGTATGAAAGCATGGATTCCGTTATACAAGAAAGCGTAATTCTCACAATCAGAGAAAGTGCAGGTCCCACAATACGAGAAATTGCGAAATTCTCGTTTCAAAGTCCTCGCGAAAATAGCGGTGTTTGAAGGAAATTGCAAGTTTGACGATGAAAAAAAAAATCGAAGTCGGAAAAGACGAACGGCGTTGGGACAGGTAATCTCCATCTGCTGTCCGAATGCGCGCGTGGTTTCGCCTTCGGTTTTGCGTCGCGGGGTTGGCGAGTGTTCGGACGCGAGGGTAGGTTTCGAGTGCGGAAAATTTGATTTGCGGGAAACAGCGAAGCGCTATTAAGCCCGACAAACAGATGGGGTCGAGTGCCGAGGTTTTTATATTCGCGGGAGGCGGGGAAGCGCCACCCAGGCAGGAGCGGGAGGGAGATGGAGCCAGGTTCGAAAGGTCGCGTTTTGACTTCGTTTCTGTGCGCGCGCGTGTTTGTTTGTGCTTTGGTCAGTTTGTGGGAATTTGTTGGTGTCGTTGGTGTTGACTTTTGTTACTTGGTAATGGTGTGGGTGGTGGTTGTTTTTAATCGTTCTTGTTTTTGCGATTATTATTCTCATTGTTGTCATCGTTATCATCATCGTAATCATGATTATCTTCGTAATTATCATCTTTATCTCAATCATGATTATCATCTTTATCTCAGTCGTAATTATCATCATTATGTTTTACTATATATCATTATTTTTTATCGTTATCATCATCATCATCATCATCATCATCATCATCATCATCATCATCATCATCATCATCATCATCCTACCACCATCATCATTATCAATGCTACTTCTATAACTCTTATTATTGTCATCTTCGTCATCATCACCATCATCGTCATCACAGTAATAATAATAGTGATGATAACAGTTGTGAATTTTGTTGACGTAGTTTCGGTTGTAATAACCACTGGTGGATGGCGGTGATTCCGGTCGTTGCAGTTGTTGTGGTTACGTTATTTGTATATATATATATATATTGTATATTGTCAGTGTTTTCATGTATATCATATATATATATTAGTCAGTGTTCTTATTTTATCTATTCTGTGATTGTCATTGTTGCTTTAATTTATTCCCGTTTTGACTGATTGGTTATATATTTTGCTCTTTTGATTGTGAGTGAGATTGTTGTTACTGGTGTTCACAGCGATTGTGTGTTATTATTATCTATTATTATGAGTGTTTTTTTTAAATGTTATTGGGTTGCTGTTATATTAATTATTATTGTTTTATTGTTCTGTTTTATTACAGTTATATTTATTATTATGATTCTATTGACTAAATTATTACTGATAGTATTGATTGCTTTAAATTGCTATAGGTATACCATTATTTATGTTTATCATCTTGGCAATTATTATCGCTACTGCTCTTTCTCCTCCCTCGGATCGCCGTAACAGCAATTAATCGCTATCGTGTTGTTGTTGCTGTTGCTGTTGATTGTCGTTGTTGTGTTTGCTGTTGCTGTTGTTGTCGTCTGTTGTGTGTTGTCCTTGTTTGTCGTTGATTGTTGATGTGTTGATGTTGTTATGTTGTCGTTGTTGTTGTTTGTGTCGTCGTTGTTGTTGCCACCCATGCGGGCGCGGGTTGTAATGTAAGGTTAATTGGGCAGTGGGATCGGCCCGGTGGTGGGTTGGGGGGGAGGGGAGAGGTGTGGGGAAGGGGTGGAGGGAGGAGGGGAGGTGGGGGGGGGGTGCATGGCGGGCGTCGGTTGGAACAGGTCCTCGCGCGGTGCAGGGCGCGAGGTACCCTTCTTTGCAGTCATTCGGGTCGTCCCTTTTTGCGGCGCAGTTTGTCGGCGGTGACGAGGTCGGAGGGCGGGTGGCGTCGTCGGAGGTAAGGAGTGTTGTGGGAGTGGTGGCGTCAAGTCGGAGGTGAGGGAGTTGGGTGGCGTCGGAAAGTCGGGAGAGGTCGGAGTGTGTGTCGGAGGTCGGGAGGTGTGTGTCGGGCTGGCGGTTGTCGGGAGGGCGGGA